GGCTTCGGCGGCATTTTTTGGTCAATTGGCCAATGGTTTGGCTCCGATTTGGCCACAGTTGGGTTTAGAATCAAAATCTGAGCCAAAGGGAGAATTTTTACCTCGTTTGGCGGCCGAAAAGTGCTCCGGTGCGGCGGTGGGTGGCGGCGGTCGGTTCCCCCGACAGTTGGACTGTCTTCTCCGGCGAGGGCTCTGGCAGCTAGGGTTTGGGGTTGGGTGTGGATGAGATTATTTATAACCTTTCACTTTTAATCTGAGCCGTCCATCGCGATTTAATCTGGGCCGTCGATCGCGATTAAATTGGAAATGAATCTTGACTGTCCATCGCGATGCGATCTGGATCGTCTGTGAGTGATTCAATCTAGGCCATCCGCACGCGTGCAATCTGGGCCGTCTGCACGCGCTTTTGATTTGGGCCGTCCATGCGTGCGGGAACGGATCTCAGCCGTCCGATCGCGCGCACGCGGATCGTCCACGTGGCTCCATTTTTGCGTGGCCTCCATCGTCAGCGTCTCTGCCACGCGGCGTGTCCTGGTTGGCCGGGGCTACTGACCGGGCTGCTGACGTGGCGCAATTTTTCTAAATTACGTTTTGACCTCTAGTTTTCAATTTTCTTTTCAAAAACACCCATAGAATCCGAATTTTCACCTTTTTTTTTTCAAAATTATTTTTAATTAAATCTTAAAAATAATTTTACCCCTTTTAATCACTATTATTATTTTTATTTCCTTTTAATTAAATTAAACTAAATTAAAACTATACATTATTACATAAATAATCATTTAATTCATATAAAATTTACAAAAAAATAAAAATAAAACAAAATAATATTCATAAAAATAATAATAAATTTGGGGTGTTACAATCAATTTAATGGGTCCGTTTAAAAATTATCGAATACGGTTAAATAATATTGGATCTTAATGCATCATATTTAAGTATAAGTTTGTAATGTGTAGATATCATTTTGTAATATTCTCGTTTTATAATTGACGAAATGAAAATTACAAAAATTTGTTAATATAAAAAACGGTTATGGTCTCCAAATCATATGTTCGACATTTTTTTTTTAATTCTGTTACCAAGAAAAACTAACTTTTGAGACACCATGTTGATTTGGAAAATTTTACCGCAGGACGCAGAAAATTCTTCCGCTATGGATTCAGCCACGTTTCCACTTACATTTTTTACTAATTCAGTACGAGATTGCGTGTACGTAAGCCAAAGCTAACTTTTTAACAGAAATCAGAATTTGGAGTACAAATTCCGGAGACAATTGTCTGTAACTTTTAATAGGGTATTAGCAGAACAGGAAGCTAAACCTGAATAAACTACAAACTACTGGATTGTACATGAGATTGGTTTGTTGAATGTAATACTTTAATGCTTCATAGCTGGTGCTCGGGCAAATTCAACAACTCGGAATATGGTCACTTTCAGCACCACAGATTTCGTGCTGATCAGCTCGAAGACACAAACATCCCCTTCATTCAAGTCATTTTGCCACACAAACTCAGGCCATCCCTTGCCCAACCTAGCAGCACCATCCACGGTAACACAGCGAACAGTCCATTCCTTTCCTTCAGGAACCTGAAGAGTGATGAATCCAGTAACCCCACTCAGATACTTTCGAGCAAATCTGCAAGGCATATGCTGAACAGACGAAAAACAGAGGTAAGAACCATATTGGTGCATGGAAACCTAAGTTGCAACTGAGAAATTTCATTCAAAGTATTGAGTTTGAGCACTCACCAAAAGCAAGCCCTTATACACATATGATGGTCGCAAGATAACTGTGCAAGAAGGATTATTAGGCTTGAACATCAAAGCAGCATTGTATGCTCTTTCCTTCTCTTCTGCTGTGAAGATTCTTTCTCTTCGTATGTAAGTCCTGGAAAAAGCTTCTGTTCCGGGTAACTCTTGTTTCACTTGGACTTTGCCTATTGATTCATGTTCATCTATATCTCAATGGAAAAGTAAAAAAGAAAACCTAAATTTGGAAGGTCCAAAAGAATTAGAGCTAAGGAAATTACCTGATTCGGTTTCTTGTTTAATCTTTTTTGTTCTTGGTTCTGCTCCAATATTCAAATGCAAATCAACTTCATCTGCAGCAGTCATGAGCCTGTTTGCATCAATCTGAATACCTATATCCCGAGTAGGTCGAAATGTTTCAGTTCCATCCTTTGCATCTGTTTTTGGCAGGTAGTCTTCACTGGTCCCATTGTTCATACTCATGTTTCCATAAGTAGTAAGAGCTTGCTTGATTTTAGAATCCATAATTTTTCCAGGAGCATTGTTCTGTCCATCATTCACAGAGTCAGGAAGAGGTTGCTTGTCGTGATGATGAGGCTCTTGGCTATTACAGACAGTTGCACATGGATACTTGATTTCAGAGGTTCTCAGATCATAGATATGAACATTGAAGTTCGACTTTCCTTCATATCTAAAGACCAAGAAATAGCCAGCTTGAATGGAGTAGTACTCTACAAATTCATGCCAACCATTAAGAAACCAGAATTTCTGGTTGACTTTTTCGAACACCACAAGCCAGACACCGCCATTTGGAACGGTAAGTGTAACAACTGATGAAAGTTCTTCGCCATATCTCCTAACAAACTTGTCCGGTATTCTCTGTGCATATATAAGAACCACATATACATATATACAGAAATCTCATTCTTTTCACAGTAAAATACAGAAAATAAGCACTAATGATAACCATGAGGCTCACTCTATTGACTCATTAAAGACCAAAAGTATCAGTTCTCAAACGATTACCAAATGTCCCTTCATTTTCCAGCCAACACCAGAATATGAAGAACCTTATTTCAAGAATGCAACTAAACTAACATGAAGTAGATTATGCATTAAATTTCTGGAAATCATATACATATATAAAACTATATATACAATTATATGACTTGGTGGGGGTGAAAAATCATTGGATTTCCAAAAAAAATAAAAAAATGAAAAAGAGTACTAGGCCATTTGCAATGACTTTCGTTCATAAACTGTACTAGCAGCTGCATTTACGCCAATGAAACAAAAACAGTGTCTTGTTTATATGGAGGCAGGCAAGCAAGCTGGAGGCCTCTGTAAAGAACAAATAATTTTCTTAAAATCTCTGAATCTTCAAGCGAACTGATCAGCAGCCAAATTATCCCACATGCAAAAAGCAAAAGAGAGGGAAAAAAATAAACACGTGAAGATCACATTCCTCTCTGATTAAATTTTTTCCTCTGTTATTTTTCCTTAGCAATCAATCAAACTTGGAAGATTAAGCCTAGCCCTAATCAATTGTCATCATCAACCAGTTCAAAACACAGAAAAAGAAGACGAGCTCGAAGTCATCAAAAAATTTTACTCTCGACTCGAAATGCTAATCAGACACGCAACTTCTTTTCTCTTACACATTCACAACCAGCCAAACAGATTTCCATTACTCTCGATCAACATAAAAAAAGGAAGCTCGTAAATTTTCTGGTCCATTTTCTCAGCAGCCAAACAAGTAGACAGTGAGCTTACCAGCTTCTTGTCTTCCAGAATGGAGGCCACAATCAACTTGTAGAAAATGCAAGAACCGTCCTTCTCAGGCAAACCTGGTCCCACCGGCAGTGACATTGTCTTCTCAGATTGAGTCGCTTCTGGTGAATTTGCCCACTCTGGTCATCAATTTTCGATAAACAAATCCGATTTTCTCATTAAACAAACACCAGATTTCCGTTACTTTCAAAGCAAATATAAAAATATAAAATAAAATAAACTTTTCTTCTGGTACGAAACAAACTGGGCATGGGGGGTCCCACGCGCGTGTCCTACCAACTGACTGAATAATTAGAAATTAATAATCTTGAGAAATTAATATGTAATTAAGGAAAATCCACGGTGGAAAATTTAATTGACCGAAAAACAGTTGACTTTTTACTGTCAACCACCTCAATTTTATTTAATATAAAATAATATATAAATTTGGAAATTTTGAAGTGAATTATTAAAAGGAGTTAAAAATAGTTCTTGGTAATAATTTATATTACTTTATATAATATATATCACTCCTATTTTTATTATTTTAAATTTTAATATTTATTATAATATATACTCACGATAAAAAAACGTATCTATATAAATATTAAAATTTAAAAATATTATTATTATAACAATCACGTGATGCTTGAGTTAGGTGATACTACTTAAATGAAAGTTGAAAAGTATTGAAACGTCGAAATTTTTTATTTTATTTTATATTATTTATTAATTTTTTTTAAATTTATATTTAATTTATATCTTATTTAAAAATAAAAGCGATTGCCAATATAACAGTTTCGTGACTACCAACGTTAGTAATATTTTTGAAACCGAACACCCACGTGAAAACATCATCTCACACGTTAGTATTTTATCTTACAGTTTTAAATACGGTAAAAATTTATTTAGAGAGAAAAATAGTGTAATAACAGATTTAAAATTTTTTAAATATTATAAAAACTTTTTAATATATTATTTTTATAAATATATATATATATAACATGTATTTAAATTACTGCAATAATCGATATATACTATATTATTATTTTTTTAATTTATTTAAATCATATATAAATTATATAACAAACTAATAGTAATAAATATAATTAATATTACATTTTTTTTTAAAGTTTTCTTATGATAATAAAGCAGAGAATTTTATAACTTCTACTAAAAAGTTACTTTGTCAAATGGTCCTGTAAGTTCATCTTCCTTTGAACCGTTACTGTTCTCTTCGTGGTGGAACTGAAGTCAAGAAGATGAAGAAGAAGCCGAAGATGCCACCAGAGGGACCCGGAGCCATGGCCTTTCATCGGTCACCGTCACCTTCTTGGACCGGAGAAGCTGCTGTCCCAAACCATTCAGTGCCATGGTTTTTATACATATCATAGAGTGCATAGCAGACGCGAAGCATCTTAAGATTAAACAACTAATATTACAATATGAAGAGACATCTAAGGATCATTATAGTCCAATCTGATATTATTTCGCATGTATACGTACATATAAACGTATATATATATATATATTGAAATGCTCTATGCCATACAAGAGCATCAGGTTTCTAGTTTTACAGTATTCTAAAATTTCTTAAGGATTGGCCTTGACAAAACTATCTATGATTGTAGGAAGATGATCTTCACTCCCACCTTGAAGTTGCTTGTACTTAATTGACGGACTATTCATCCCATATTTTCTTGCAAATTTTAGACAAACACATCCGGTAAGCACCAAAATCCCAGAAAGAATCCAGCTAAACTGCAAGTTGGCCAGCGCCCTCGCCCTCAAATCGGCTTCAGGTGACTCGCAAGTTACTGCACTACCGGACATATCACCATTGTCCCCCTCACCCAACTGACTGATGCACCCTAGAGGAACATATTTAGGAACCCAGAGCATGAAACTCATGTTCATTAACCAACATCCTTGAAAAACAACCAGTATCGATAGAATCAGTGCTATCGAAAAGTTGGTAGGGAAGCTAGTTGCTGCTAAAGTTGCAAGAAAGGAGACAAAGACTATAAGCTGTAAAAGCCAGTGATAGTGGCCTTCAAGTCCCACATGATCAGCCGAATGGAAATGGAGGAGAAAAAGCTCTTGACCAAAAACAGAAGCCGCAAATATTCCGGGAACCCCGGACAAGATGTTGATGGAATGAGTTAATTCTGCAAAAAGTGAAAAACCTGAAAAGATTGCAAGATGGAGATACATCGTTGCGTGCTCAAAGTTGTCAAGCTTGAAAGCAAAGTGAAGGAAAGGAAAATCCAAGACTTGCATAGAGATTACGAAAATAGAGAAAGAAAAGATGAAGATGAGCTCCAAGTGCTTTAACAAAATTGGAAAAGGGCCATCAAAAGGGAACCAGAACTTAACTCTGAAGCTAGCGGAACCATTGAGACAGAATGTTTTGATGGTGTTGATGATGTGCCATAGGCCGAGAAAGGTGAGTGCCAAACCAGGCACCAAGTGTCCCAAGAAAGTGCCCATCAAAGCTTAATTTTCTCCGAAGATCAGTGTTTTACCTCTGCTTTGATCTCTTCCCAAAGATTAAATAACTAGCTAGCAAGGAAGTGCTGGCACATATGTTTGTCGTAGATGGTCCCCAAAAGCAACATAACAGAAAGTTACGACAATACGTCCAAAATTTGGCGCATTATGTGTTTTCCACAAAGAAAATGCTAAAGGAAGAACACCCATCTAGCACAAATCATAAAATAGTAACAAACAGATGGTGCTGGCAAACTAAAAATATATGCCAAAACAAGTGAAAGATCATAAGATGAAGCTCATAGCCTAGATCAACTTCTAATAGCACGGAAGTCCGAAGAACAAACGAAAATAAACACGCATATTATCCGGGTTACTGTGGTTGGTTCTCTATAGAAGCAGAAGAGGTCGCCCAACCCTCAACTAGTGTAAGAATGAGTCAAAAAGAGATGGACTCTTCATTATTTTGAAGGGCTATGCAGTTCACCACATCTATAGTTTAGTGGAGAATGCGTATGCACCCAAAAGAATAACTCCGTAATTGACAAATAAGATGTTTCCACTTATTCAGCCATTTTTTTTTTCCTTCAACAGACCTCAACGTAGAATTACAAGTCTCAATTTTTGGAACAAAGCCTTCCCCTTTCATTTTAGAAAACCACTTAGTTGCCTCGTCAGCTCTGTCCAACACACAGCAGCCCCTCATCAAAAACATGAAAAAGAATACTACTTACCATCTAGTGGCCAACTCATCGAAAATCACTCCCAACACTAATGTTATTGCTGATGGTTCCTTTCAATAATCGCAAAGCGGGCTTTGGCGATGGTAGTGAGACGCTACTGCAAGAACCAAGCAGCGGGTTCTGATATCCATTGTGTGAAACACGATGTTGGCGATGAATTCAAGGGCCAATTCAGGGGTTTTGAGGAAGCTGATGATGGTGGCTGAGATAAGCGATGTGGTAAATTTTGGCGAAAGGCGTTCAATAAAATGCCACTGAGAAGATTGGACCGATTTGAGAAGCTGGCCGTGGCTTATTGATGCTGCGGGAGGAGGAATTGAGCTTTCTGTGGAGATCTTTATGGACTGGGGAATTAAAGAGGAAAGCACAGGGGAGAGAGAGTGGCTGATGGGTATTATAGTGAGTAAGCTTGTGGCATTTACCAACAATCTGATGACAAAGGAGTCTATATCGTCTCATGTTATTTACAGAAAACAACTGTTGCGATCCCCTTCTGCCGCAGATTACAGAGTAGAATTTCTCCAGCCTATTGACAGCTTCTCTAAAACTCGTCTGCAAAAGATACTGAAAATTTTTTGGGTAGAGAATCATCCATAAACTTTTCTCCAATAGGTTATATGTATTAATCAGACAACAATACTCCATATGGAATACTAAACATGAAAATGATACACAAATCATGTGAATCAAATGAATATTTATATTGCTCAATGATCAAATCTCTAAAGTTTCCATAATACTCTCAGTACACAATTGAAAGAGAAAAAAATTCATTCATGAACATTGCCAAAAAAATCAACACACTCCTTATCTAGTTTACTAACAGCCAAGATTGATCACAATCTATTCTCTGCCGCATGTAATCATCATATCTTGAGTTTATCATTTCCATATGATTGCATATATGTCAAGAGATTGTAGTGTAATAAAAATGAATCTACGGGCAACGACGTCAGTCCATCCAGATCTCTGTCCAAGCATTCTGCAAAAACAACAGTGGGAACAATTAATTCCAGAATTGAAATCTATAAAGAAAATACCGCAAGCCCAACTTAACTCGAATCAATCAAAAACCAACTACGGATGCTGCGGCCAGAAAGAAATGCATGGATCTTCAAAGTGCACACTCTATTTTTCTTTATCTAGTTTAGATGCGTAATGATGTAATCCTTTCTAAAATCTTACTTGCTGCAATAATGCAAACACATTTCAAAAGACAATTAGCCCCTGAGTTTCAACATTCCAGCTCAGAGGCAATAAATTTGAAACAGAAGTGACTTAAGTGTTATCATGCAAAATGTATAGGCTAGTGTTCATTGAGAAGGTGTTGGGTGATCAAAGTTAGAAATGTAGCATTGAAACTCACTGACCCTAGCAAAATGCAGTTATGGAAAATTCTTCAATGCATAATTATATCTCCAAATGAACAAGCAAGGAAACCAATTACAAGTTTCTACCTACAGCCTGCTTTTTTCGTCCAAAGGTATTTATGCAAAAACAAGTGCCGCCAGTAACTGAATTCTTGAATATCAGCTTCCATTATTTTTTATGAGAAACAGGTTGTCACCTCTGACATTCCCTAAGAGCATAAATTTTTTGTAACCAACTTTAGCAAATGAAGTGCACTTGCACCATGTATAATGACCACAAGAATCGACTATAACTGCCATTAAAAACCAATACAACTTCCAAACTCCGTAGCCTATAATGTAATTGGATTTCAAACAGATGGATAGAATAAAAGCAGTAAGGAAACAACTCCCAAGTCCATAATTATAAAAAAGTGACATCACTAATAAGCAAAATTGCAAGAATTACCAAATGAACTCGATCACGCAACAGCTATGGGTGGATGGTTGCTGGGCTCAGTGTTCTTATTGGAATCCTTGAGAAAGTCCTCAATGTTGTAGACAACAGTTATATATAGAGAACAGCTAGGGCAACGAGCAATCTCCTCGCCAAGTCGAAGGTCTTCTTTTGTGATCTGGAAGAGGTCACCGCATGGACAAGGGTAGGTGTAAGCCTGCAGCTCCTCATTCCACTCCATATCCTCTATCTCCACGTCGTCGTACGACATTGTTTAATGATCTGTCTGGATCAATGACAAAAGAGAAGAAGGAGAAAGTCTGTCTCAATCAGAAACTATGGCAGCTTTAGGGTATGTTTGGAAGAGTAGGAGAGGATGGAACACGGGAAAAAAATTAGGCAGAGTCTGAACAAATGCAAGTTCATAATGAAGCATTCTTAACAGATATCGTAAAAAACCAGAAACTTTGACAGTGTCTAAACTTGAGATACGTGTGCAACCACCAAATAAAGAAAAGGAAAGACAAGGAAAAACAGAGAAACGAGCATTGCTGATCAAGCTTTTCTCAAAACTTGGTTTAAAACAAATTAATTGAAATATGCCATACTCCTAGTTCTAACTAAAGACAATTCCCCTGGTGGCCTAGAATTAAACAATACTTTCATTGACAAAAATTGATTACACAAGAAACTAGATGATTGCTTCCATGTGTCAAGGAGATTCTTGATTCCATAAATCCTACATGATTAAATATTAAAAGCCTCTTGCATAATCGAAAGCCAAACCTCACTGACATTATATTTACCCGACCCCAAAGTTCGTACCTGCACTAAATAGGCAAAGCTAACTACAGCTTAGTTGGGAGTTAAGCAAAATTAATCTGAACATATCTCAACCATGGACCTTCATACACAGCCAAGCATTGTCAAAGTTCAAATCGATTCATCTTTCTCCTTACTGTTTAATCATCCTCCTCAAATTTCGCAGGCATTACAATTTACAATACTCAATAAGTGGCAACAATGTAATCAACAATAAGACAAAATCCAAGGTTCATTCACGAGGGTTTTTGTCCTTATTGACATTTTTCAAACCAGTAAAGGAATCCCAACCATTCAACCAACGGCTAATTATATAAAAACAGAGATTAAAATAATGAAAAGCAAAAAGAGCGTTCACTGAAATTTTAATTAAAAAGGTTAAAAACAAATCGGTGGGATAATTGAATCAAACATCTCTTCATTCATTTTCAAAAAGAGAAAATTACGAAGTAGAAGGCATACAAGACGTAGAAGGTTACCGCTGAATCCTCTAAATATCGATCTCCTCTGCCTCTTTTTCTCTTACTCTCGCTATCAAATTCGTGCTCTAGAGTTTATCAAAAAGCTTCCTCAGTCTACAAAAGAGACTCCCGCTTTTTCTCTCCAACCAAAAAGCTCTCAACAAAATCGCTTCCCAAAGCTCTCTCAAAAAGCCTCTTTTATCTCGCCTAGGGTTCCTCTACTCCTCTACTCTCTCTTCTTCTGGTACAGCCGGAGAATAAGCTCGCAGAGCATAAACCGCCAGCCCCCAAACCCTTTCTCGAATTCCCACTCTCACTCTCGCCTCTTTGATCTCCAAATCCCACTCGAACTCTCTCTCTCTGTGATTTCTTTCTCCTGGCTTTCCAATCCTTTTTCCCTCGTCCAACCGACTCTGAGGAAAGGGTTTCTATTTTCCTTTTCTTTTATCCTAAACGGTGTCGTTGGGGGATGGGCTTTGCGTTTCAAAAGGAAAAACTGGCTGGACCATAATTTCGCATCAACGAAAGTAAATTACTAAATTAGTTTTGAAGTTTAATGTTTTATTATAATTTAATTTTTTGTTTTTTTTATAAAAATTAATTTATATTTTTTTAAAACGTTAATTTTTTTTTATTTTTCAAGAAAAAGTAAAAAAAAAAATTTATATTGTATTTAAATATTTTAAAAACTAATTAAAAAAGTAACATTATAGATTTAATTGCAAAACAACAAAAATTATTATTCAATTTAATAAATAATTTAACAAAATAACTTATTGTAAAAAAAATGATAAAAATTTAATTATATTCAATTTAATAAAAATTTATTGTAAACAAAATAAGGACTTTATTGCAATAGTTTAAATATTATAAATCATTATTAAAGGAGCTAAATATTATTTAATATAATGTTTATATTTAATGTAATTAAAAAAAGCATAATAAATCACATAAAGAAGTGCATAATAAATTATAAATTACAGTTTAAATTTTAATAAAATTGATATTTTTATGAATATATTATGTATCGATAATAATTAATTTATAATATTTAATTTAATAAAATATATTGTGAAAATTTATAATAATTAAATTAATTTTTTTAAGTGTATCATAATGTAACATTTTATTATTTAATAAAAATTAAGTGGGAATTAATTTTGATTCTTTAAAATATAATTTTAAATTAAAAAGAAAAAACAAGTTGTTTCTTCAACGAAAAAATGAAGAAAATCAAGAGCACGTTGGTTAGATTTTCAAACTGCATTCGCAGAAGAACCACCGATTGGCAGAAGACGCTTCATGTGAGGGAGCAAAAGCAAGCAGAGAGGCAGCGGAAGAGCTATGAAAAGCCACAGCCATAAGCACAAGAATGATGCAAGGAATTCACCAGCAGCAGCAGAAACTAGCGGCTCTCCTCGCGGTTGCTCTTCCCAAAGACGATTCTACTCCTCATCCATCTTCTTCCCCCGCAACAGCTACCACAACAACGACAACGACGACGACAAGTACTAATACTGCAACCATCTCAGCTCCAACATCTGTGACGACTGGAACTGGTGCTAACTCGGAGGATGCTGACTCGGCTCGACTCACCGCTATCAACTCACTCCATCGAGCGATTCTTTATCCTCCCAACTCGCTCCTCGTTGCTCACTCTGCCTCTTTTCTAGCCCAAGGCTTCTCTCAACTCCTCGCCGACAAGTATTCCTCCTCCCATCTCTCTAATCTGAGTTTCTATTTCTAAGTAATTAGTTGGGAAGATTAAATTTGGTGAAATTTCAGAAATGGAGACCCGAATAGACTGTTTAATTTAATTGCGCGATTAATTGATTGTTACGGTAGCTTCGTATTTTGTTTTATAATTCCCTTGCACCGTTCAGTTTCTTTTTTTAATGAAATTATTTGAAGATGATACACTTGTTTTTAAGGGATTCGAGTCGATGGTAATTACTTTTTGCTGGTAATTTGCAATATGAGAAAATACAGTTAGGCCTGTCTTTGCAAGGATATTGAGGGTGTATTGACTTTGAGACCAATCGCCGGAATTATTTGTCATGTGCATTTTCGTTTTTGTTTTACTTTAGTTTCAAAACCTCATATCTTTTCCTTGTTATGGGGCTAATTTGGTGAAATCTTTCAATTGTACTCTGGTTTTTCGCTTGGAGATGATAGAAAAACCAAAACCACCTGGCGTATGATAACAGCATGTGATGATGCACTTAAAACTTTAAAGGATTACAAACTAAAAATGAGTCAGCAAAGAATTTTTTTAATTGACCAAAGAGAAAGCTATTGTTGAACAAAAATGTTCTGTAATTTGGAAGGCAATTCCAGGTGATCCAATGTCCACAGCTTGATGTATTTGTTCAAAATTCTGGCTCAGGTCATATTCAGTGAGGCAGTCTGCAGCTACTGCATATGGCGCCCTTTGTGCTGTGGTATGTTCAATCCCGATAGGCTCAAGTGGAAGACAAAATCATGTTATGCTCGGCAGTTTGGTTGACCGGTTTATTGGGTGGTCCTTGCCATTGCTTAGCCATGTCAATGCTGGAGGTGGAACCACAGAACTGGCGTTGGAAGGCCTACGTGAGTTTCTTAGCATTGGAGACGCAAATGGAATTGAAAGATATGCTTTACCAATTCTCAAATCATGCCAAGAACTTCTTGAGGACGAGAGAACTTCAATGAGTTTGTTATGTCAGCTTTTGACTGTTCTATCTTTGATATCTTTGAAGTTTTCTAGGTTCTTCCATCCTCATTTTCTTGACATTGTTGATCTGCTCCTTGGGTGGGCATTAGTACCAGACCTTGGAGAATCTGATAGACGAGTTATTATGGACAGCTTCTTGCAATTCCAGAAGCATTGGGTCAATGAACTACAGTTCTCTCTAGAATTATTGTCTAAGTTCCTGGGTGACATGGATGTACTGGTTCAAGATGGTAGTCCTGGAACCCCACAACAATTTAGGAGATTGCTTGCCTTGCTTTCTTGTTTTTCAACAGTTCTACAATCCACTGCCTCTGGATTGCTTGAAATGAATATGCTTGAACAAATAAGTGAACCCCTTATTAACATGCTTCCCCTATTGTTGGGATGTTTATCTATTGTCGGAAGGAAGTTTGGCTGGTCAAAATGGATTGAGGATTCATGGAAATGCTTGACTCTTTTAGCCGAAATATTGGGTGAAAGGTTTTCCACCTTTTATCCACTCACTGTTGACATCTTATTCCAAAGTCTGAAGGACAGCTCAATTCAACCTGTAGGATCTGGAAAACTTACCTCTTTTCAAGTTCACGGTGTTTTGAAGACTAATCTGCAGTTATTATCCCTGCAAATGCTTGGACTTCTTCCATTATCGGTGCAGAAAATACTTCATTTCGATTCACCAATATCTCAACTGCGGTTACATCCAAATCATTTAGTCACAGCAAGTTCTGCTGCCACTTACATTTTCTTGCTTCAACATGGGAATAATGAAATTGTTCAGCAGGCAATAAGCTTGTTAAACGAGGAGCTGGAGCTATTAAAAGGAATGCTTGGGAAAATATTAGGTCACGAAGATGAGACTAACAATATCATTAGCTCCAAATTTTACTCAAAACATGAATTGTTTGCATTAATCAAATTTGATTTGAAAGTTCTGTTAAGTTCTCTGTCATTGAGTGGAAGTGGCAGTTTGATTGGCCAACCGGAAATATCTGCCTTGTATATTAAGAGGTCAGAAAAATTGGGATCTTTTATTATGGAGAAACTCAATCCTTTTGAATCACCATTTCAGTCATGCGTGGAGTTACAAGTTAATGTTATCAGGGCAGTGGACAGGCTATCAGCGGTTGAGTTCTTGAATAAGTGTGCCACAAGAGACCAGAGTAAAACTAAAGATCGTATACATGTTGCTGCTGAGGAGGTTCTTAATGGCAAGAGTGTCCGGGATGGGGTTTTAGCTCCCATTGTTGAGCATATAAGGAAGTACAGCTTGATCCTAGTCAAAGCACTTAATGTATCTTCTCCTCTAGCAGTTAAAATAGTATCCCTACAGTGGATCCAAAGATTTTGCGAGACTCTTATTTCTACTTATGAGAGTTCAGATGCAGGCATTCACTTTTATGAAGCATTCACATATATTGATGTTGTTGGAAATGTGTTCTTTTCAATTTTGGATGTTGCATTTGATAGGGAACCAAAAGTGAGGTCACATGCTGCATTGGTCTTGGAATTGCTTCTGCAAGCCAGGTTGATACATCCCACATTTTTTTATCCCATTGCTGAAGTAGTCATAGAAAAGCTTGGTGATCCAGATATCAATATAAGAAGTGCATTTGTTGGGCTGCTTTCTCATGTATTACCTGCTGCAATGTATGTAG